GAACAAACTGACCCATGTGGCTATGGAAGAAACAAAGAATGGGCAGAGGCTCCGGGGCAGAAAGCGTGAGAATTTCATGACATCAACCACGCAGAGCCCTTGGTAATTCACCAGCTGGGGATGTCACTCACCAACCTCAGTCCTGTGGTCTTGTCTAAGGTGCCAATGCTGTTCACCTTCACTGGTAACCGAGTGTTAAGGTTTACATAGAAAATGTCTCCCGAGACGTGCTTGGCCCCTGGAGCACCATGTCCAGTGACGTAGGTGACCGGGTCACAGGGCGCTTCGCTCCCCCGTGGATCAAGCCACTGAAGCGCTCGCTGGGGGAAGGCTTGTTAGGAGGTGGGGTCCCGCTGGATGACGTCACTGGGGGCGTGGCTTTGAAAAGCCTATGTTGTGCCCAGCTCCTCCTCCACCGGATCTTTCCCGTCTCTCTGCTTCCTGGCTACCAAGGTGAGCAGCTTTGCTCAGCCGCCCCCTCTCCACCGTGATGTTCCTGCCTCAGCACAGGCCTAGAAGCAATGGAGCTGGCTGATCAGTCCCAGCCAGAAACCTCCAAAACCATGAGCAACATAAACCTCTCCTCTTGTGACTTTTGACTGTCTCAGGTATTTTGTCACAGCAATCGAAAACTTGATTAATACTCAGGGGTACCCTTGTTGGGTGACAGCACAACCATGAGGACCTGGAACGGCGCAGCTGCTGGCCTGGGTCAAGGGAAAGGTCTTGGAGACGAATGGTCAAAGTCCAGGTCACAGAGAGGGTGCCTTGGCCCATCCCCTCTTCCCACACACTCAGCCTGAAGCACAGAGTTCCAGATTTGCTGCCAGCCCCTGGCAGCTCTGGGGGACAGCAGTGGTGAGCAAGAGGGGACCCGTGCCCTGGGGACTAACAGTTTAGATGCAGAGAAGGACCCATCCCCAACCCCCATGGATAAAACGGAGGTTGAGTTGTGACCTAAGGGGTCCTGGAGAGCTTCCTGGAGGAGGTACAATTGCACATCCACCCCAAGGCCACTGGGCCCCAGATGTGAGCTTCTGGCGCAGGCCAGACCTGGATGAACCCCCTAAGTGACTGCTTGGCAAAGGCCACTGGCAAACCCAGTTTACATTGGCCCATTTGCATATCATTTGCATCTATCTGCATATGTGGTGGCACTGCATGGTCTTTTATGCATTTAAATTGCAAGTCATTTGTCTCTCCGTGAAAGCGCTCATTTTTCCCCCACGGGGAGTTGGCTCCATTCCCCCTGCCTGCCCTTCTAACACGGGGCACTGGCAGGCTTGCTCAGCACCGAGCAGGGCTGTGGATCTCGGGGCGCAGGACAAGTTTGTTATTCTGGTTTTCAGAGCCCCCTATTATTGTTAAGGGAGTCTTAACCCCTGGATACAGAGGGAGTGTCGGGCATGTGTGCCTTGTGCTACAGATGGGGAAACTGAGGCAGGGAACGAGTGTGAGATGTGCAGCCTCACTTACCGAGCTGCGGGCAGGACCTGAGTCAGAGGCCAGGCCTCCAATTTCTGATCCCGTGTTAGGGAGGTCCTGAGAGGCCAGCTCTGGAGTGCATGGTGAGAAGAGCCCCAGAGAGGGTCAGGTTCTCAGCCAAAGCCGCACAGCCAGGCTAGGGTGCAGCCCGGGGCCCGAAGCCCTGCCAAGGGGGCTCTGCCCAGGGGGAGCCCATGCGGGGCTTTCTTCCTGTCTAGGTTGCTGGACCAGGACCACTTAGCACAACCCACCCCACTCCACTGTGACTGGAAGCGGCCCAGATCCGAGCTGGTGGCTTTCTGCTACGCATCCCGAGGGTACCGCACCAGGCCCCGACGTGGCAGAGGACACCCAGCTCGCAGATGTCACCTCCCGTGTAAACGTGTCACCAGAGCGGCCGGGACCTCCTGGAAGCCAGCAGTCCAGCCAGCTGTCATGTCACTGGGGACATTATCCACGAGATGCGACCCCCTGGAACGACAGCGCCCACGTCCTGAGTGCTTGGCTGGAGCAGCCTCGGTGCCGAGCACCCACTCAGTCATTTCCAGTCCTTGTCCTCATGCATTCCTGCCAAGCGGAGGAGGCCACCAAGGCTCCGCCACACTGTGAAGTGTCCAGGTTGGGGCTGAGCATCAGGGCAGGCTCCCTCCAGACGCCGGCAAAAGGCCCAGCACTTTCCTCAACCACCACTGTCTAACCTGCAGCCCCTCCTTTTTGGCACTCTTGTTTGTCTTGAGTGAAGAGGAATTGTCTTGGGCTGCATATAAAATAAATATTCTAGTAGCCAGATGTGGTGGCACATGTCTAATCCCAGCACTCCGACTGTGGGAGGCTGAGGGAGGAGAATCATGAGTTTGCGCTCAGGTTGGGAAACTTGGTGACTTAGCAAGACCCTATCTCAAAATAAGACATTTTTGGGCCAGAATTTGGGATATAACTCAATGTGAAGATTTTGGGTTCATCCCTGATCTCTCTCTCTCTCTCTCTCACACACACATACATACACACATTTGAAAGATATTTTTATGATAACATTTTAAAAAGTGAGGAAAAGAAAGTTAGGCCATACGTGGGACACACATAAGCCATACCACCTCCACTCAAATCCAAAACTAGGCCTAACACGAGTACTAAATAACTAGCCTTTTTTTTCTTTGGTACTAGGGATCAAACTCAGGACCTTGTGCTTGCAAGGCAGGCAGCGGCACCACTGAGCTAAATCCCCAGCCCTTTAAATGACAAGTCTTAAGCAGCATAAAGTAGCAATTTAGGAAATACAGGCTTGCTGGTAGGAGCTTCTATCAGACAACTTTTTTTTTTTTTTTTGGTACCGGGATCAAACTCGAGACCTTGTGCTTTCAAGACAGGCGCCGGAACCACTGAGCTAAATCCCCCGCCCATATCAGATAACTTTCTACAGGGAACAATGATAAAATCTGGGAGAGAGACATATAAAACAGATTTGTTTGAAATTACTGAAAAGTGACCCAAACTAGGCTGGAACTGGAGGGAATGTGGCTCTTGAAGAAGGGAACCATACAGAGAAAGATAAGTTTATCTGGCTTCCCCCAGGACAGTCCTAGTGTACATGGTGAGGGGACAGAGGTCGAGCAGAAGGCAGAAGCACTACTGGCTCAAGGGAAGGGAACTGGAATTCAGGGCCTCGTGGCAGCTGCCAATTGGGAGGGAAAAAGCTCAGGAAAGAGACACAGGGGGAGAAACTCCTGAATCCATAGCTGACTCTGGCATGGAAAGTAGCTCCAAGGGAAACCATAGCTGGGAAACAGATGAGCAGTAAGTTCCTGTAGCTGCTTGGTATTGAGGAGACAGATTTCCTAGGTCAGATCTCAGTGGGTTACAGGGGTTCAGTAAACACATGAGACTTCTCACTGAGATCTTGGGAGGCCAGGAGTTAGAGGTGAGAACTGAAACAAATTTGCCCTCAAAGTCTGGATGCAAGACCCCCCAAGCACGGTGAGTGGTCAGCATCTAAACAGAACAATACACAGACATCTTCAGAGGAAGATAACACAACCCAGAATCTCTGCTCTGTATTGATGAGAATGTTCCACATAAAGTAAAAAATTACTAGACCCTGTAAAGAAGTGGGAAAATATGACACACTGTTAATATTTTTCTAAAAATAGAAACAGGTTCGTGTATTGAAATTAGTAGGTACATTGTATATCATTACAATAAAATTGTTTCAGAAGCTGCAGGAAAAGACAACTATAATGGATAAAACAAGGGAAAATGCAGGAGAGTAGTAGTATTCTTGGACACTCAGAACAAAGTTCCACAATCTGAATTGCTAAAAGCAATAGAAATGCATAACTCCAGGGCCAGGGATTTAGCTCAGTGGTTTTGCTGCCTGCCGCTCAAGCGCAAGGACCCTAGTTCAATCCCCAGTACCAAAAAAATAAACTTTAAAAAAAAATTAAGTCAAATTTTAAACTGAAAAATTCAATATGTGAAGTTGAACATTCTTTGGGTAAGATTAAAAGCATATTAGACTTGCCAGGTATGGTAGCACACGGCTGTAATACCAGCATTCAGGAGGCTGAGGCAAGAATAGCCATGAACTTGAGGCTAGCCTGGGCTACCTAGAAAACACTGTCGCAAAACAAAACAACAAAAAAAGCATATTAGACTCAATTTAAAGAGGGTAACAAGTTAATACAAATTATACCAAAGTTTGTGCATGCACATACATAAAATGAATAAAGCCTCAATAAGCATCTGATATACATACAATTCGAGGGCTGGGGATTTAGCTCAGTGGTTCCACTGCCTGCTTTGCAAGCACAAGGACCCGAGTTAGATCCCCAGTACCAAAAAAAAAACAACAAAAAGACCCCCCATACAATTAGAGTCTCAGAGGAGGAAAGTGGAAGAATGAGTCAGAAAAAATATTTGAAAAAATATTTGATGAAATATTGGCAGAGAATATTTCAAGTTTGATTGCAAAAAATCCCAACCTACAGGGGTGGGGATTTAGCTCAATGGTTCCGGCTCCTGCCTCGCAAGCATAAGGTCCCGAGTTCGATTCCTGATACCAAAAAAAAAAAAAAGATAAAATAGTAGCTACACTTTTGGGCTGGGGATTTAGCTCAGTGGTTTTGCCAACTGCTGCGCAAGCACAAGGACTTGAGTTCGATCCCCGGTACCAAAAAAAAAAACAACCAACCTACATATTGAGGAAGTTCAGCGAACCCTAACTAGGGTGAATACAAAGAAAATCATTTAGGCACATCATGGTTGGATTCCAGAGAACCAAAAATAAAGAAAATAAAGAAAAATAAAGAAAAACTCTGAAAAGCAGCTGAGGAAAATTTAAAAAGACAATTAGAAATAAGAAAACCAAAAAAAAAGCAGAAGACTACAAACTTCTACTAAAACAATGCAAGTCAGAAGACAATGGAACTGCATCTAATAAGTAATAAAAGAAAAAATTGTCATCTTAGAATGGTATCTGTGAAAATATCTTTCAAAATAGAAATTACTTTTTTGGACAAATGAAATAGATAATTTGTTAACAGAACTGAAGCATAAATACTAAATAAAGGTCATTAGGTTAAAGGAAAAATTTCAGGTTTATAGACAAAACATACAAGGAATAGTAAAATGCGAATACATACAAATGCCATTTTTATTTTTCTTAGCGTTTTCTTTTTCTGAGACAAGGCCTCGCTGTGGAGCCTGGCTGGTCTTGAACTCACACCGACTCTCCTGCCTCAGCCTCCTGAGTGCTAGGATTATAGGCATGTCCTTCCACACCCAGGTATTTGAGCTTATTTCTAGTATGAGTCCTGTTTTCTCTAAAGCTTGTAACTGAGCTGGCCGCCCACACAGCATCCCCTCCAGAACTCAGCATCCATCCAGTCGGCCTGTGCCGGATGCCAGTGACATGTTGGTCCCTGCCAGCTGCCTGGGGTTGTGGCCACTTTTTAGGAGCAGGAAGTGACCCACCCACCTTCGCATGTCCCACAGCAGGGGTAGGGGGTCCAACACCTACAGTCAGGTCTCCAAACCGTGGCTTGAGCTGAACTTTCCTGAGGTTGTCTGGGGTCAGCAGCAGGGGCCAATTGGGTGTTACATTTGGATCTGAAGTGTCCCCCAGAATTCTCCTGTGTGTGTAAGGTGCAAGCGGATGGGATCAATGGAGCTGGACTCATCGATGGATTCCTGCATGCCTGAGGTCATAGCCGAGTATACTGTGAAGGAGGTGGGGCCTCCGCGGAGGTGGCCACTGGGGGAGTGGCCTGGAAGAGGCTGTTCTCCCTGCTCCTCCCTTCTCTCCCTGCTTCCTGGCCGCCAGGAAGTGAGCATGTGTCCTCCACCAGGCCCTTCTGCCCTGCTGCTCTGCCTTGGAACTGGCCACCCACAGACTGAAACTATAAGCGAAAATAAACCTCAAGCGAAAATAAACCTCTTCTTTTTTTTTTTTTTTTTTTTTGGTACGGGGGACTGAACTCCGGTCCTTGCGCTTGCGCAGCAGGCAGCAAAACCACTGAGCTAAATCCCCGGCCCCTATAAATCTCTCCTTTACCCTGTGGCGTCAGGTACTGAGTCCAGGGAGGGAAGGTGCCTAAGGCACCAGGCACCCTGTGTTCCCCAGAGCCACTCTCGCTGGGCACCTACCGCCCTGGCCTCAGGATGTGGATGAGGCCTTTCCTCCAGCTCCCCTGAGAACCCTGAGTGTGGGCAGCAGGCTCTGGTGTGGGAAGAGGCCGGGCCCAGGGGCTGCGGCAGAAAAAGCCTGGGTCAGGCCCACATTACAAGTGCTGGGCAGGGAAAGAGCACCGGGGACCTGGCCCTCCCTTCTGCTCCCCTCACCCCACACCTGGGCCCCCAGGGCACACTCCACATCTGCTCGAAGTGGGGCCCAGAGCCTTGTGGACAGAGCTGTTTCCAGGGACTCCTGACCTCAGGCGTTTGGGCCCTGGAGCACCACCCCTCCTGCCTGGTGGCAGGCGACCCCTCCCTGATCTCTCACACCCCGACTGTCTTGGCTCCTTTTGTCCCTCGGGTAAATGAAATCCTTTGGATTATGACTGTGAGATTTGTTCTCAAAGCTGACCAGCCACCTTTGTTTATCGCCTGTCCCATGGAGAGGGACTGGGATTGATTCCTTCTCATGTAGGACTCCCCTGAATAGTGCCAATGTGACTGTCCCCGCTCACTTCTGGTTTCTTGTTTGGTTTCTGTGGGCCCCCACCCTGAGGCCCATCCCCATTCCTTTTTTTTATTTTGAGACAGAGTCTCACCAAGTCACTAAGTTACCAGGCTGAACTTGCACTTGTGATCCTCCTGCCTCAGCCTCCTGAGTGCTGGGGTCACAGGGGTGCACCATGTGGATATCCTGCTTGTGGAGAACTGTTTGGTTTTGAGACAGGGTCTCACTTTGTAGCCCAGGCTGGCCTCAAACTCACTACAATCCTCCTGCCTCAGCCTCCTGAGTGCTGGGATGACAGGGGTGCATCACCAGACTTACTAATTCAAGTTTCCCCCCTATTTTTCTCGAGAAGTCTGCCTTTTTCTTATTAATTGGTAGGAATTCTTTATGTATTCTGAGGAAAAATCACCTGCTCTGTGTGTGTGTATGCGTGTGCACGTGTGTGTGTGTGTAAGGCCAGCCACTCTCTCACCAACTCAGAGCACCCTGGCAGCTGGGCCATATCTACACTGTGGGCAGTGACAGGGTTTCAAACAAAAGAAGTAACATGTCACATGTGATTACTCTGATTTGAATTGAGTTTGCTTTTTTTTTCGGTACTAGGGATCGAACTCAGAACTGTGTGCTTGCCAGGCAGGCACGGCACCACTGAGCTACATCCCCAGCTTGATTTTGCATTTGACTGATCAATTTGCCTTGGTTTATGGTTGTGTAAGAGCTATGTGGGGCCAGGGATTTAGTTCAGTGGTTCCGCCGCCTGCCTTGCAACCACAAGGACCTGAGTTCGAGCCCTGGTTCCAGAAAAAAAAAAAAAGAGCTATGTGGAGTTTATGTCATACCTTATGTTTGTACATATTTTTGTTATTTTTGTAGACAGGGTCTTGCTATGTAGCTCCAGCTGGAACTCACAATGATCCTCCTGCCTCAGCCTCCTGAGTGCTTGGATTACAAGTGTGCATCAGCACACCTGGCCTGAAAGTTTTCCGGAGACCACTGTAGATGCACATGTGGCTGTCAGAAATGATGCAGTGCATGGCAGTGCAGTGCCACCCTCAACTCCAGGATGTGGCACTGACCCACCCCCACCTCTCTGACTCCTCTGCTTTACTTCTGCCTGGATGTGGCTTCCTGTAGGGGATCCTGGCCAGGGCAACCCTCACCCCAGCCAAAGTCCAGACCACTTCTGTCACCAGGAGGGTCCCTCCTGTGCGTGTTATACCCGAGGCGCTCCATCCCCACCCCCACCCAAACGGGACACCTGGAATCCGTCTCCAAAACACTAAATGGAGCCCTGGGCAGGTGCCTTGTGGCACCCGCTGTTCCCTGGGGTGCCCCAGATGGCACTCTCCCCAAAAGCACCTGGTCGGCCTGATGTCGCAGCCCAGGGGCAGCTTCTGTTCTTCCCATTTAACAGCTGAGCTTGAAGCCAGGCGAGGTGGCACATGCCAGTCATCCTGCACTTGGGGGGGCTGAGGCAGGAGGATCGCCACAAGTTCAAGGCCAACCCAGGCTCCAGTGCGAGACCCTGCCTCAACAAACAAACAAATAAAGTCATTTTACCTCCCAGCAAAGCGAGGCCAGACTTAAACACCACGTCAGAGCTCTCGGTGGCCACTGTGGGGAGAGGGAAGGCCCAGGCCGGAGACCTAGGGCCCCTCCCTCGCGGCCTCCTGAGTCCCGCCCAGCCCTCCAGGCTACTGGCTTCCCAGCGCTGGTGGGGCAAAGCGGCGGCCAGAGTCCCCTCCTGAGCGGGCGCAGGCTCCCCTGGGCGCACGCGGGTGGGGCTCGCGCCCTGCGGGTTCGGGGGAGCAGCGAGGCGACACCGGAGCATGGAGCGCAGCGGCAGGCGCGGAGCCCAGAGCGAGGCGCCCGCGGCCCATCCGGCGATGAATTATGTATGGCCTTCTGGCGGCCGGGCTGGGCGGGCTGCTGTCGCCGCTGAGGGGCGTGGGCTGGGGGCGGCGGCTCTTTGTCTCGGCCCCAGGTCCCCACCAGCTCCTGGCCGCGGGGCCTCGGGCCCACGACGCCCACTTCCTGGGGCACCAGCTGGGCACCTTGAGCCTCCTCCACCTGCCAGACTCGGGTAACAAAGACCCCTTCCTCCAGCCTGACTTCGTGCCTGCCCCGAAGGTGCCGTGCTGGGCCCAGCGCCCAACCTCCTGAGGTTCTGATCCCACAGAGGCAACTGGTTAAATAAGGAGTCTTACCAGCAGAGCGAGCGCGCCTCTAATCCCAGTACTTGGGAGGCTGAGGAAGGAGCATTGCTTCGAGTTCATGGCCAGCCTGAACTACATGCTGTCTCCAAACAATCAAAACCCCCAAGAAACAACAATCTGTCCTATGAAAGACACTAGGGAAAGCTGAGCCCGGAGGACCAGGCAATGCCTCTCAGAAGAGGTCACATTTGGGCCGGGGATTTAGCTCAGTGGTTCTGCCGCCTGCCTTGCAAGTGCAAGGAACTGAGTTCGATCCCAGGTACAAAAAAAAAAAAAAAAGAGGTCACATTTGAGCAGATCCCTGAAGGAAGAGAGGGAGCTGTCCCAACAGACATCTGGGAAGAATCATCCAGCTGCAGGAGCAGCAAGTGCAAAGGCCCTGGGGCAGGACATGGGCCTGTGTCTGAGACCTCACAGCCACCTCCTGTCATGTGCCTGTCTTTACTGTGTCTCTCCTTTACTGGGCTGTGAACTCTGAATGTCAGAGCAGCTATCGGTGGGTAACGTCATGGTCCCATCGTTCCTGATTCCCGCTCTGCCATCACTCACTGGGCCGGGCCAGGAGAACAGGAGGGGACAGTGGCTTCCCATCCCCATGGCTCTCTGATTTGGGTTATTTATTTATTACCCCCACACTTGTTGAAACCGCCCCATCCAGTCCACCTGTCCACAGAGCCACTGGAAATTCTCCCTCCCGGGTCTCCTTCCGCTTGCTCCTCTGGGGTCCTGTCAGGGCCAGGGTGGGAGGGTGCTGGGAGGGCTAGAGGGTTGTTTCAAGGACCGAGTGCAGAGCTGGCCTTGGTGGCACATGGCTCTAATCCCAGCACTTGGGAGGCTGAGGCAGGACGATTACTGTGGCTCCAGGCCAGCTTGGCTACAAAGTGAGTTTGAGGCCAGTGTGGACTACATAGCAAGACCCTGTCTTGAAAAATAAACAACGAAAGGATGGAGCGCAGAACCTCCACGCTCAGCCAGACTGCCGCAAGCGCAGGGTGTGGGTCTGATGGATCCCTTCTCCACAAGCTGCAGCCTGTGCCAGTGCGAACCCCTTTGTTCCCCAAATCTCAGGCCATGGAGCAGGGGAAGGAGAGGGGTGAGCGTGAGCTGAGGTCGGTGGGAGGCCGGGCCGGGCCCCTGGGCTGGCGGCTGGGGAGGTTGGGGTGTGGGAACACAGGGCAGGCAGGGCTGCGGCCGGGCCTGGGAGCCGGGAGCTGGCAGCAGCTCAGGCGGGCGGAGTGGGGCCTGGTACCAGACACTGTCTAGACGCGGCAATTATGTGAGCGAACACCCAGGCTCTGCCGGTTCAGCTGAAAGGGAGCTTAACAAAGGGCGAGGGAGGAAGAAAGAGGCCAGCAAAGCATGTGTGCCGCCGGCGGCTCTTTCTCTGCCTCGGCCTCCCGCTTTGTGCCTGCAGCCCTGGGGACCCCATGTGAAAGCCTGGGCCCCAAGGGCCAGCCTGGCCGCTGCGTGTGGCTGGGGAGAGCGAGCAGAGGGGGTCCTGTCCAGGGAGGCAGCTCGCACACACATTCCCTCGCTTGGAGTTCAGGGACAGTGACAACCAAGCGCCATTCCCCTGTGCAGCTCTGAGCCACAACGCTGTGCCTCAGTCTTCTCATCTGCAAACTGGGGGGAATTGGAGGCCCTCAGCTATGTCCTCTCCCTGACCCCAAGCATAGAGAGGCCATTAGGATCCCTATTTTGCGGGTACAAGGCTGGCCTTGAGCTTGCAATCCTCCTGCCTCAGCCTCCTGAACAACTGGGATTACAAGTGTGTGCGCTACCACACTCAGCACTGTGGTTGCTTTTTTTTTTTTTTTTGGTACCAGGAATCGAACTCTGGACCTTGCGGTTGGGAGGCAGGCGGCGGAACCACTGAGCTAAACCCCGGGCCCTGATTGCTTTTTTTGAGAAATATTTCGAAGAAACAGGAAGGCAGAGGCGGAATGAGCTCTCTTGCCAGAGCTCCGAAGGGATGGGCTGGAACTCGGGTTTGTCCCCTCATGCTCACTGTGACTTTGTACAGGCGGCTGGGCCAGGGGCTGGTGGTGGGTGGCAGGGCCGGGGGGAACGAGGTCACTGTATGTGGCCCGAGGGGTGGTGGGCAGGGTCAGAGCTGTAGGGGCTGAGAACACCTTCCCCACTGTGTGGACAGGACCTGCCCCTGCTCTGTGGCCGCTCCAGGGACAGTCGCCATGGGGAGAGGGGGACAGGTCCCCAAGGCACTGGGTTTTGGTGGCTGCAAACTTAGCTGACTCCCTTGGCCAAGCTCAGCAGAGCCCAGATGGAGAAACTGAGGCACGAGGTCCCAGGGCTCAGGGCTGGCTTTGGAGCTTCTGAGGTTCTGGGTTCCCCCATGGCTGCTGCTCTCTGGACCTTGGTGACATCTAGACTGTCCCCCACTGATGGCTGAGCTGGGACAGGCTGCAGTGCCAGCCTCCATCCAGGATCAGACTCTGCCTAGTGTGAAGGATGGCGGGTGACTGCCCATGGGGAGACCCTGCCGGGGCCACCATCCCAGCACTGCTGCGGGGGCGGGGTTCCAGTGACCCTGGCGGGTGGTCTGGGTCCCACCTTGTCCATCTCATATGAGCAGATCTTCCCAGCCTCTGCCCTGTGGCCAGAGCCCCTCACCGGCCCCGCTCTGCCTGCTTGTAGGGCACAGACTCAGCCCCTGATCCCACACATGGCAGGACCCCATGCCGGCTCCTGCAGCCCCGGCTGTCTCTCCACCAGCATGCCCTTCCAGCCGCGCCACTGGGTCCTTGAGCTGACGCCGGCCTCCCGGGAACCTGCTCCCTTAGCTGTCCCTTGCACCCCATCAAGGGACAGCGACAGCCTCCATCACGGCACAAGCTGGGGCCCTGGTGAACCCTGACAGCTTGGTGGCCTCCCTCACCCCCATACCTGTCACCCCCAGTCCTGTCCTCTGCCCTTCCCATTCGCCTGGACCCTGGCACCATCCCTCTCAAACCCCCTGCAAGGCTTCTGGCCACACCAACCCCCAGGACTGTCAGCTGTGAGGCCGGGGGGCTCCTGCCCCCACCAACCAGCTACCGAGCCGCCCTGGTCCCTGGTTGCCGTCCCCAGACAGACTCCTGTGACCCTGCTACAGACGAGTCCTCCGAGCGGCTCTTTATTCACGACAGCCTGCAGGCTGCTGTGTCCTCTAACCCGTTCCTGTTTCCCCAGCACCCTCTCGGCCGCCCTCCTGGGATGCAGAGGTGGGGAAAGGAGCCCAGAGCCCCAGTGTCCTGGGCCTCCCCGACTAAGACTCGTGGGCAGCCCTCCTGTCCCCTTCCCCAGGGCTCCAGTGCCCAAGGGCGAGCGCAGGACATGCTGGTGGGGGGCACCCCAGGATGGGATGGGGGCTGTCTGGTGACCCCCAAGCCTCTGCTCAGGTCTGGCCTGGGCTGCTCTCCGCTGGGGCGTGGGGTGGGGTGCAGGAGGGTGGAGGTGCCCTCACCATACCCCTGCCCAGAGCCCTGTAGCTGGGTCTCCCACTCCAGCCGGGCTGCCTCTGCCCCCACTGCCCCTCCCCACCCCCACTCTGCCCGTCCTGTGCCCCCCAACCCCCGCTCCTCTCTTTTTCTTCTCTTTCCTCTGAGCCCTTCTCCCTCGCCTCCTTCCTTTCTTCTTCCAGGGTTAAAAATAATCAACTTTCTGGGAAGCAGCAGCTCCCGCCGAGCAGCCCTCCCGCGCCCGGGCGCCCCTGAGAATAGCTCGGCGCCCCCTTCTTCCTCCTCCCTGCGCGCTGACTAATCAGCCTGGGCCGGCACCTTAACCGCTTCATGCCCGGGGACGGCGGACAAGACGCGGCGGGGCTGGCGGCAGGATGCACTTTGACCTCTGTCTGCCGAGGCTACATCTGGCCGGGTGGCAGCGAGGGGACACGGGACAGGGGCAGTGCGGACGTCCCAGGGACACGTGGGGGCCATGTGGCCCGGAGGACTTCTGGTCCTGGGTCCGGGTACCACCCGGAGGGGCAGAACCCCGACTGGGGCTAAGAGGCGGTCCGGGCAGGGAGGGCTGCACAAGGCCCTGGGGTCCCCGGACGCCTCCCTCCCCGCAGGTAGGGCCGTCCGTATGTCCGCGGAGGGAAACTGAGGGCTGGGTGAGGTGATTCAGGCCAGGACGGCTCCGGGCTCCCGCCACAGACACGCGGGGCATCCTCGGCTCGGGTTGGGGGTTCGGCCCGGCCGCAATGGGGGCGGAGCGGGGAGCGCCGAAGTCAAAGGTGAACGGCTGAACTCGGCTGGCGCAGCGGCCCCGCTCACTCGGCGCGCCCCGACATTACCTCATCGCTGCGCGCGCCCATTGGCTGCTTACCTCTTCGCCCCACGCGCCCATTGGCTGCTTCCCACGGAGGCCGGCCCAATGCGGCGGGAGCGTTAACCCCTTCCGTGACGAGCCCTGCGCTGCTCCTGCAGCCTCGGCTGCCTTCACGTGGCTTCGGGCGCCCGAGGCCCACGGGGGTGGGCGGGGTGCGCGGGGCGGGGCAGGCAGGCGGTCGGAGCCTCCACCGGTTAGCCCCTAGGTCGCATCGCCCCGGTGTGGGCCCCCTGCTCCTCCGGGCTGTGTGACCTTGGGCAACCGTGCCACCTCGCTGAGCCCGGCGTGTTTGCTCAGCTGTAAACAGCAGCGGATGATGTCACTCGTGGCCTCCCTGATTCCTCGGCGCCTGCCAAGCGTCGGGTGCACGTGGGCTCCGCGCTGCACATTTTGCCTCCGCGCTGCAAGAGGTGCGGTTATTATTATGAGATTGCGGGGGGGGGAGAAAACCAGCTCAGAGCTGCAGAGCGGCTTCCCAAGGACGCACAGCGAGAGTCCCAGAGCTGGGACCCCGAGCCCGAGCAAGCCCACAGCGCCCACGGAGGGGCCCACTTCCTGCTGCAGGGACACGATCGATGCCTGGCCGGCCAGACCACGGCACAGGCTGCTGTAATCACATAAAACCAGTGCCAAGCTGAGAGCCACCCAGGGCCTCCAGAGAGGCTTCGGTCCGGCTTTGAGGGAGGCAGAGGTCCCTCAGACAAAGGCGGGGACGGTGGCGCCCTGGGGGTGCAAAATGGGGCGGGAAGCAGCAGGGCCCCCTGTGATTCACCTTCTGGCTGGGGCTCAGCTAACAAACTGCTGAATAAAACACGCTCTGTCCTCCTTCCTTGACAAATACGCTGTCGCCATAAGGACACCGAGACCTGGGAGCCTGGGTTCGAATTTAGAAGTCTCAGCCAGAGTTCCCACCCAGCCCCTCTTCCCTTTCTGCTCCGGGGCAGGGCTGCGTGTGCCTGGGTACAGACACCCCCTAGCCGCCACCCTAAGCCTTGGGTGGCCCCACGAGCATCTCACATGGGCCTTGGGAGGACAGGCTCGGAAGCGGCGGGGACTCCAGGGTCCTAGTTTAAGGGCCTCAGGGTTGCAGGTGCTGCGTGATCCCATGGGATTCGCATGGTGGCCCCTCCTGCCGAGTCCTTGGGGTGACCCACGCTGGACATAGGGGCCTCCTTCCTTCCTGGTCGTGTTCCTGACCCTCAACCAGCCTCAGAGACCACCCTGGCCGGATCCCAAGAGCCCTCCCCCTCCCTCCTGCCCCCAGCCCAGGTGGGCCGGGCTCTCTCCCCACGCTCCCTGCTGCCCCGCCTGCTCCTCTCCCTCCCCTCCCCGGGGTCCCAGCCCCATTCCCTAGCCACTCCGGTACCCAGCCTGCCCCTACGTCAGCCAGATAGACCTTTCCAGAACACGGCCGACCACTTCCTCCCCTCCCCGCCAGGCCTGGCTCCAGGCCCCTGGGGCGTGCGTCATCCCAGCCCTGATGGCTGGCTCTCCGCAGCGGAGCTTAGCTGTGTGGACCTCGTCTCCAGCCCGGACAGCCCTGTCCTTCCTGTCTGCTACTCCCGCTGCCTGGAACCCGGGGCATCTTCTTCACCTTGCCTACCTCGGCTCTCGGTCGCCTCCGGGGAGCCTTCCTGACCCCCAGTCTGGCAGAAACCACGTGGTAATGACCTGATTATCCGTGCAATCCGCAGTGGACCTCGGGTATCTGAGCCAGGACAGGCGTGAGCAGTCGGAGGCCACTCATACCCCAGGCATCCGCAGGGGAGGCGTCCCCAAGGGGTCACTAAATGCTGATGGGGGGTTGAGCCTGCGCTGGACCAGAAATCAGGGGACAGAATGGCAGCCCGTGCCTGCTGCAAGCTTACCCCAGGGCCAGGCCTTACTGCTAAGTGTGTCCTATGTTTGAACTCACATATTCTTCACACCAATTTTTCCTTTTGTTCTTCTACCGGGAACTGAACCTGGGGCCTTCACACTGAGCTACACCCCCTGCCATTTTTTGTTTTTTATTTTGAGACAGGGTCTTGGTAAGCTGCCCAGGCTGGGCTCAAACTCGTGATCTCCCTGCCACAGCCTTGCAGAGTGCTGGGATGACAGGCGAGCACCACCACGCCCAGTTCGCAGCCACCTTTGGAAAGGGACCCATCATCTCCATTTGTGGTCTCAGGACACTGAGACCCTACAGCTTCAGGCACCAGCTCAGGGCAGGCGCACAGCTGACCAGCCTGGGGTGGGCACAGCCAGCTGAGCTCCTGCAGGCAGGGCAGGCCCCTCGCTTCCCTGCTGGGGAGACAAAGGCAGGGGGAGCCTGAGGGGAGGAGCTGGGGCCTCCCACATGGAGCAGCTGTGTGGTCTGGGACCCCACCTGCACCACCAGCCTCCGTTTCCCCATCTGCCACACTCCCCGAGCCTGGCCCTTGTGGGTGGAGTGATGGGAACACGGTGGTAGTCAAGCCGGGGTCCCCCCGACAAGAGCTCCACACACATTAAGGGCCCTGCCACCGCCCTGTGGGACGAGGAACACTTCCCAGAGGAGGGCAGGACGTGGGGGCTCAGAAGGGGACTGAGACTCAGCTGAGGCCACACAGCAAGAAGGAGGAGCCAAGATTTTGCCCTTAGCCCCTCTGCTGCCACCTGTCTCTGGCAAAAGTGTTCCTTCCACACCTTCATCACTGGGAGGAGGAACCATGAGAGACTTTTGGAATTTGAAGAAAACCTTCGAGGGTCAGGTGCCATGTGTGCGCCTGTGATTCCAGCCCTCTGGGAGGCTGAGGCAGGAGGATCCCGAATGCCAGCCCAGACTCCAGGGATTTAGTGAGATCCTGTCTCAAAATAAACAGTAACAAAAGGGCTCGGGCCCTGGATTCAATCTCCAGTACCACACAACAGAAAAAGAGTACCACCCTGGACTCCAGCAGCTCTGCCTGCTCTTGAGCCCTGCCCCTCCCCTGGAGCTGGCAGGAAGCACCTCCCACAGGGTCACAGGAAGTGTGGGACCCCGACACTAGAGTGGGGCTGGAACCCTCACCTCTGGGACCCAGGGGCCAGTTCCCCAGCAGCCCCAGCCCTGAAGGGACCCACAGGCCACCTTAATCGTTTCTACCAGGACATCTCAGAGTTCCCGCCATGTCCTTTGCAGAGTTCGCCCATTTTCCAGATGAGAAGTTGAGGCCTTGACGGAAGTGACCTCCAGGGGCTGGCACTGCCCAAGCTGGGGTGGCGGTGGGGCCCATCGAAGCCCTGGTGAGGGCTTCAGTGGGACGGGGGTCACTGTACAGCTGAGTGGGTGGGCTTGAGGAGGCCTGGGTGGGTGATCTGAGGGGGGTGGGGTCCCTGCCTTCACTGGGGACCCATGCCACCCACAGGGGGCAACACTAGGGGCCAGAGGAGGGGACGCCCCCACTCCCGTCCAAGGTGCGCATGTGTGGTCTGTGACTCGGGAGTCAGAGCACATGGCTCGAGCCTGTGTGTGCCCGTGTGCGTTCACGTGGTTCTGTGACCTGCGTCTTGGTGTGTGTGTGTATGCGCGTACAGCCCTAACTGGGACACTCCCCAGGGGAAGAGCTCCGGAGAGATGGAGGTGGACTTGGCTGGGACAGTGGGGCCTGGGCAGGCCCAGCCTCTGCCCAGGTAGGGTCAGTCGGCCAGGCAACAGGCTGGATAGAGTGGGGAAGGCCGCCTGGCTGAGATCCTCATCCCTGCTCAGCCTGTCGTGCAACCAAAATGGTCTTAGTTTTCATCTGAAAATCCAGTCCAAGATCATGTGCCAAAGGGCCCAGAAAGAACCTGAAGCCTGCAGTCCCAGCCCTTGGGAGGCTGAGGCAGGAGGATCGCCATGAGTTCAAAGCCAGCCTGGGTAACAGTTCAAGGCCAGCCTGAACTACATAGTGAGATTCTGTGTCAAATAAACAAAAACAGAAAGACACTGAGAGCTGCTAGCAAATTCAGGGAGCCAGGAGAACACTGTGTGCGTGTTTAGGACTTGAGCCCAGGTGATGAGTCCAGCAGGGACCCCAACCCCCTCGCCCCCCTCCCCCCCATCCCCTGCAGCAGGCCTGGTGGGCCCAAAGGGGACCTTTCTCACTGGCCTCCACCCCGCAGATGCCTCTGTTGCTGTGCTCTGCTCGGCCCACTTTTAACGATCAGGGCCCGGCAGGACTCTCCCTGCCTGCCTTGTTCCTCCCCAGTCCCTGTCACCTCGTGGGACACGGGCACTTATTTTTTCCCTTGTGGTACTGGGGGTCGAACCCAGGCCTTCACCCTAGGCTCCATCGCCAGCACCCCCCCCCCCCCTTTTTGGTACCGGGGATCAAACTCAGGAACTTGCGCTTGCGAGGCAGGCTGCAGAACCACTGAGCTAAATCCTCAGCCCTCGCCCCTCTTTTTTTGAGACAGGGGCTTGCTAAATTGCAAGGGCTAGGGCCGGGGATGTAGCTCAGTGGTTCTGCAGCCTGCCTCACAAGCACAAAGTCCCGAGTTCGATCCCCGGTACCATAAATTGCCCAGGCTGAGCTCGCGCTTGCAACCCTCCAGCCTCAGCCTAACAAGTAGCTGGATGATTGGCTGGGGCCGCCACGACCTGCTTAGGGGTGCAGTTCTGAGCGCCCACCCTGGAGGGGTCTGGTAAGTAACCCCGCAAAAGAACTGTAACTCCAGGGGCAGAAATCCAGCTCTGTGGCGACCCCGGGGTGGGCCTCCGTCTCCGGGCCTCCTTTACCCGGCTGTACAAGGCGCCCGGTGCATGTGCAGCTTTACTGAACATCTGCTAAGTGCCGGACGGGGCGACCAGAGGCCTCGCGCTGCAGAGACAGACGCCACCGGGCCAGGGCCAAGCGGGGGCGGCGGTGACTCAGCGCCCCGAGACCGCGGGCGGGAAGCGGAAAGTTCTGCGGGTGACGTCAGCGGAGGCGGGGCCTGGAGGCGCGGGGCGGGGTTTGGAAGCACCGGGAAGCCCCCACCCCGCCGCAGCCGCGCTCGGAGGCCGCCGCATCCATCCCGCTGCGCCCCTGCATTTTAATTACTGCGGCATTAATATTCATGAGCCGGGACTCGGGGACCGCGAGCTGTCATTTCCCTCGCCCGCACCCCCCGCACCCCTCTTCCCGGCTGAGTCGTGGGCTTTTTCCCTCCCGCTCCCACCCCCGCACGCGCGCCCGCGCGCCCGCGCCGACAGGCGGCGCCCGGCAGATCTGGGGGCTCCGTGCACCGCGCGCCGCCGCCGCCGGCCCAGGCCTGGGTGTGCCGACGTGTGGGGCGGGGCCGAGTGTGGGCCGGGCCAGCAGGTCTTGACTGTCCAGGTGGGGAAACTGAGGCCTGAGACGTGTCTGTCCCGTGGGACCGGGGCCCGGCGCAAAGCTCCGCCGCCCACCCTTCTGAGCTGTTTGTCAAGTGGCGGAGCCTGTGCTGTGCAACCGCCGCAACCCGGGCAGCAGCCGCGACCGTCTGTGGCTGTAGCAGTTGGGGAAACTGAGGCAGCTGGTCCAGCTAGTGAGGAGAAGAGCTGGAGCCCAGAAGTGTCCGAGTCCAGAGCCCCTGGCTTTATACCCCGCCGTGATGACCCCTCTGTCACAGGGGCCACACAGTGTAGGGAGCAGGTGTCCAGATTTCCAGGCACCTTTCCTGGGCCTTGAGTCAAGAATTTGTCCGTCCATGTGCCTGTCCTTCCCTCCACCCACCCATCCCTCCCC